CAGTCCAGAGAGACCTGGGTTTGGTTCCCGCTAAGGGCACGTACCTCAGTTGCAGTTTGTCCCCAGCTCTGGTTGGTCATGCGGGTGGCAGCCACTCAATGTGTCACTTTCACGTCAATGTTTCTCTCTCTCTCTCTCTTCCTCTCTGTCCCTCCTACTCTAGCTGAACAACAACAACAAAAAAAGATTGAAAAATCAAAATGTGTCCATGATTAATTTACCAGCCACTGATTTGCTAAACTTCCATCAAGTTAACTAACTTTAAAGCGTCCTAGGCTTGCATGGGATTGCTAATTAAATCCATCTGGTTATTTACAGAGCTATTTTTTTCCAAGCTTCCTTAGTGAAAACATATTCTTTTATATAGTATTATTACAGAAGATTCCGTTCTTATGGTTTCATATCAGTATAGTATTTTATTAGTTTGTATTTATGCATTTGGAAATGGTAGTAAATTTATTTTAATTCTTCTGCCCATATGGATTTCTATGTGTATTTTTTTTTTAATTAGCAGGAAAAGATAGAAATAGTTTCAGGATAAGAATGTCTAGTCTTCTTGGTGTGTTTTAATGTATTTTAGTGAATGCTCACGGGAAAACTGGGCACAACTGTGAGGTAGGTTATATTTCTTTTCAGGGCTTTTCCTTTTTAAGACCACACTTCTTTTGGTTCTAAATACTCCTGGGTGCCTAGCATACCACCAGCCTTTTCACCATCCCTTACCTCCTTAACAGCATCCAACTTTGACCAGATGCCTGTTGGAAAGTCTTGTCAAGTCAACCCGTGCCCGACACTTGCTCAGACCGTAGAATGTGCAATAAAACTGTGAAATGAAGAAGGTGTGCCGCTCTGCCCAGACCTTGGGGGATACAATCTGAAAGCACAGAGTTTCTTCTAGGAAGTGGGAACATTTCTTAAAGTATAGACTTTCAGGTTTTAAATGGAGGAAGGTTTTTCACGACAAAATTAGAAGACTTCCTGGGTCCCCTCAAGTCGCGTAAGGGCCGCATTGGGGTCCCCTGTGAAAGGCGGTGCTCCGAGTTCTCGGTGAGTGCTCAGAAGCAGCCCGTTGGCACACAACGCAGCTGTGAGAGAAATAATACAGGTGTGATAGAAATAACCTAACTGTTTACAAAGACACTATTGTATTTCAAGACATGTTTTAAATATTTATCTTGAGATAAGACATACTTTTATTAAGAGTGAGAAATGGACTAAGCCAACAGTAGGAATAAATGATAAACTTTCAGGGCTGAAGGAAGTCCTGTTGGCAAGTGTCTGTGTATCAATGTGGACACCGTAACTGAACACGCACTTTGGCCTCTTCTGACGCAGGGAACTGGAACTCCATGGAGAGGTAGTCTGCTTTTTGGTTCTGTAGTCTGCTTTTTGGTTCTGTAGTCTGCTTTTTGGTTCTGTAGTCTACTTTTTGGTTCTGTAGTCTGCTTTTTGGTTCTTACCTCAACAGGGAAAGGGAGAAGAGAGAAAACTTACTTTCTCTCTTATTAAAAAGTTATACCGAGGGACTGATAGCACTCCGGAGATTAATAATAGATTAGATTGAGGAGACAAGCATAAGCACTCAAAAATATTCCTAACATAGGCAAAGCCAGTAAACAAACAGAAAAAGTGAGGCACCCAGAACAATTTTTGAGACAAGAGTTAGAGCATTTTTCAGAAAACAATTAAAAACAAATTTAAAGAGTGTTAGAAATAATACATTCTACAAACATGTTTATATTTCTTCATATCTCTCTGTAAGAGATACCTCTTAGTTTCTATTATGCTGTTTAAACCGTGTAGTAATTTATATTATTTTAAAAAAGCATTTTCGGTGGTAGAAATGAAGAAGTGTGCCACTCTGCCCAGACCTTAGGTGGTGTTTCTGTGCTCTGATGAAGAAGACAAAGTAAAAGGTAGATTAAAACAGGAGACCTGTTAACCTGCTGAGCCAGAAAGATCCGAGTCATTGTTTAAACCAAAGATAGAGCACCGGGCAAAACCTTTGCATTCAGAGACCGTGGAGTCTGCTGTTCATAAATTGCTAACTGTGTTTGGGGGACAGCAGAGTTGGGGGTGGGAGAGGGTAACCCTGACACTCTGCAGGGCTGGGTATGACACACTGGCCATGTGCCTCTCAGCTGTTCACTGTGGTGAGAGCCTAATGGTCCCACATATTAGTACCACAGCCCTCCTGTGGTGACTCTAAATTGCAGGCATAGAGCCTAAGTGGGATAATGGGCCTCTGTAGGTCTGGCCTAGAATTTCCAACCCTATTCAATGAAAGCAAATAGAACAAAAGCCAAAAAGAAATCTCAAGACTCATCGTCAGGCCTAGAAAATAATGAGCCATTGTTACTGAAACATATAAACACCTAAGTTTTAATATTCAAAAAGAAATGAGAGATGGGAATGGACAACCAAATCACCCAGTGTTTTATTTTAAGGGAGAATCCCATACGTTAACAATTCATGTTGAGGCACATGACAGAAATTACAGGCACGCTGAAAATAGAGTTTCTGTTGCACAAAATGTCTCCTGTCCTTCATGTTCTTCCAAAGAACTATAACTGTAACTAGTAAAAATAAATACTTAATAAATATCTGTTGAGTGACCAAGTTAGTGATGGAGCGAATAATTAAAAGAATGAATTAATCAGGGGACAAGCCTCGTTTCCTAGGCTTCAGCCACAGATAAAAATTCATTTTCCCCATCAGTTATTTATAACCCCTTGCTCTCATTGTAACCCAGATTTGGTGAAGGAGCGGTTATATAAGGTGCCTGCAGGGCTCCTGATGGTCATTTCTTACCCTCTGATGTCTGCCTGTTTGCTGACAAATGGCTGAAGCAGTGCTCTTAAGGGTCACCGATGACTGACGGCCTCACTGCCGAATTCAACCTTTTTGTTTTTTATCTCAGTCCACATCCACCTTGCAGACCGCAGAATGGAACACAACCTCTTAAAACTTTTAAACAAATCTGTGTACTAATAAGATTATGAATCTCAAAATATAAATGAAGTGGCCTTGAAATGCAAACGACTTTATTTTTTTGTAACTCACTATGATATCCATTCTTAGTTCCCCCTCTGCTTGGGTTGTGAAAATGTAACCTCGGCCAATTTGGGGTGACCTTCTCTGCCACTTCAGTGCCACTCTGAGGTGTGCTGGGAGTCTTTAAACCCGTCTCAGTCCCTGTTTGTCTCATCACAGAGGTGTTTCTTCTCTGAGCTTTATCCAGGAAGCAAATCAGAAAGGCCTTTGGACGTCCATCCTGTAAACTGGGTGTTATGTCATGTGCCCTGGGGAACAGAGGGGAGGGAAGGACATTGTCTCCTTTTCTTAGGGCCCTAAAATGTCTGATAACAACTTTCCTGGTCTTGCTCCTGCATAATTCGAACCCGGAGAAGTATTAACAGGTTTGGGAGAAGTTTCTTTGTGATTATTTAGAGTGAATATAGTTTCCCCAATTACTGTGTATGCCACTGTGTTCAAATGATTATTTTGAAATTCAAAAGTCAAGAATCAATTTATTTTTTGCTTCCTGTTATATTATAACTACTTTATAGATATGCCTTGCATCTTTTATTATATCCTTTGTAAATTTCTCGGAAAATTACTTATTATAAAAGGTTTATTCAATGTATAACAATAGTACCCTCCAAAAAACTTATGCTGGTTTTTGTTAAATTATCATCAGTGTATGAGAGTCAGTTTTCCTACATTCTTGTCAATACATTATATTAAAAAATACATATTTACCATTTTTAAATTAAAAATAAAATATTTTGTGTTTATCTATATTTGTTTGATAACTAGGGAACCTGAACATGTTTTCATAGTTTTATTGAACATACAGGTTTTTTAAGTTACTATTTGTCTATGAATTCACTTGCCCATTTTGCTCAGCAATTTATTGACTTTTTACTTTTTTTTTTTCCTTTATTGATTTTAGAGAGAGAGGAAGTGAGAGGGAGAGAGAGACAGAAACACCAATGAGAGAGAACATCAATTGGCCGCCTCCTGCATGCTCCCCACAGGGGATCTGGTCTACAACCTGGGCATGTGTCCTGACCAGGAATTTAACTGGTGACCTCTTGGTGCATGGGTCAATGCTTAACCACTGAACCACACTGGCCAGACTTTATTGACTTTTAAGAGCTTTTCATTTGAATAATATTAACAAATTGATGGTCATATGTTGAAAATACATTTTTCTGGGGGAATTTTTTTTTACCTTTTTATGGTGTGTGAGAAACAGAAACTTACAATTTTTAAATTTGATTTTGAGATTTTAATCTTTGGTATTTTTACTTAATTACTTTTTCATTGCTAGATGATGACTATTCACTTATGCTGTATTTTAGTTGTTTTATAGTTTTATTTTTTACATTTAAAATTATAATCAATCTGCTATATTTAGCATTGACTATAAGTTTGGAGTCACTTAATTATTTGTTCCAGCATCGTTATTTAATAATCTCTTTCCCCTTGGATCTAAATTCCACCTTTATCATATAATGAAATTTACCTGTAATGGATCTGCTTCTGGACTCTGTTCTGTTCTGTCTCTCACTGCACCAGTAAGACTCAACTTGACTCTTTGTAGATTCTTAATCAATATTAGTATCTGATGGGAAAGTCACCCTTCATTACTATTTTTTTTTTTTCCAAAATTTTCTGGACCAGTACATTTACTCTCCCAGATAAAATGCAGAAATCCCTCTTTAAATGTAAGCATTATATTTTAGGCCTTCATTATTCTCACCCTCTTCACTTGAAGCCCCTTCAATCCTTTCTGTACCCTAGTGAATCCTAACCTGATTAGAGTTCAGCTGCAAAAGTACTAAAGAAAAATGATGATGGTAATAAATCCTATTTGCCATGCCTTCATGAAATTTCAATTTTGGGGATTTTAATAGGATACTAATTTCAGATATGTCGCTCAGGAAAAGGAACATGGGAGCTCTTCCGTTTAAGAAATGTCACCTTCTTTTCAGAGCGTGGAAGGCGAACACCACGAGAAAGCTGTGGAGCTACTCAAGGCTGCGAAGGACAGCGTCAAGCTGGTGGTGCGGTACACCCCGAAAGTCCTGGAAGAAATGGAGGCTCGCTTTGAGAAGCTGCGGACAGCCCGCCGCCGGCAGCAGCAGCAACTGCTAATTCAGCAGCAGCAACAGCAGCAGCAGCAAACACAACAAAACCACATGTCATAGGTGAGAAGTGCCTTCTTCTGTACAGGGAAAGTCCATTACCTGGTAGAGTTTTGTTGTTGTTGTTGTTTTAATATAATTTATTATCTGGAACAAAAATATTAGATTTAATAATAAAAAAACAATTAGACAAATGAAAACAATGATCTCAGAAAATGTAAACATGCCCTGGCCGGTTTGGCTCAGCGGTTAGAGCGTCAGCCTGCGGTCCAGAGAGACCCGGGTTCGGTTCCCGCTAAGGGAACCTCGGTTGCAGTTTGTCCCCGGCCCTGGTTGGTCGTGTGGGTGGCAGCCACTCGATGTGACCCTTTCACGTCGATGTTTCTCTCTTTCTCTCTCTTCCTCTCTCCCTCCCATTCTACCTGAACAAAAAATGGAAAAAATGTCCTAGGGTGAGGATAAAAAAAAAAAAAAAAAGAAAATGTAAACATGATAGATGCTTGCTTTGTGTGTAATTCAGCCATATTCCTTGCAATGGTAAGATATTTTGGAAAATAGTGTACTTTGGGAGGGCCAGGTACAGACTATTGGATGCCTTTATACAAATTAGGAAAATGCAGCTTCTGTGCAAACCCAGATCCCCAGGCGCAAAGCTAGTTGACAAAAGTGGGGGCTGAAATCCAGCTCCCCACTCACTCCCTTGGCCAGTTGTCTTAGCACAGTGTACAGACTAAACAACCACAGAGCGCCGATCATGGGAAGATCCCCTTTAGGATACAGTTTATTAGAAAACAACTTCTTTGAACAGAATGAATATACACCTGTCAGTCTCCATACTAGGAAAGATTCTGAAATTCTCTTTGGATGTCACTTAGAATATGTCTAAGATGCACCTGCCTTTTTCTAAATTCCACTTTATGGCAAAGAATATTAAGTTAGATTTTTCTATATATTAAGAAAAATCAAGAAAAAAATCTTAAGAGTAAGAATTGCCATCTTTGAAATGTCTGCTATGTGGTAGGCCTTTCTGACCTGTTATCCCTCATCCTCAGAAGAACATTTTAAGGTAAGTTAAAACCCCATGTTTTAGAATTTAGGTGAAGCTGCAATCACTTCAGCAGATTCCCCACAACCATATTTACAACCAGCACAGAATTATTTTCCATCTTACTCTGCCAGGTATTTCATCTGCCAACATCAGATATTCTGGAGTCATATATATTTTTCTTGCTATCTTTTGGAAGCCACAAGTCATCTCTCTATGCTATGGTTTCTGCAAATGTGTGTTTAAAATGAGGTTCAAATATGTTCTTAGAACAATGACAATGAGTAGTGGTGATTTTAACTCATTCATTGTCAAATTATTATTTGCACAACCAGAAACATTGAATATGAAATGAGACTTTCACTTTTTGTGTGTGACATTTATGAAACGCAGAAGCAACATGGAGAAATTAAGAGTATGGGATCTGCCCAGCTGGTGTGGCTCAGTGGTTGATCGTCGACCCATGCACCAAGAGGTCGCCAGTTCAATTCCCAGTTAGGGCACATGCCCAGGTTGTGAGCTCAATCCCCAATGTGGGGGCATGTAGGAGGGGGGCAGTCAATGTTCTCTTTCATTAATGTTTCTCTCTCTCTCTCTCTAAAATCAATAAGGAAAAAAAAAATTATGGGATTTGTCCTTTGAGAGACAGGAATTTAACAATCTTTCTTTTCTAGCCTGCTAGTCTTATTATATATACACCTTACTTTGGTGCCTTTATTTAAAATTTCATTCCACTCTAAATACTATATTTATTCAACAATAAATATTTAGCACTGTGGTGGGCCAGGTACTGTCCAATGGGCTGTAGAACCCAGTGTGAGCAAAGCAAAGTCCTGCTCTCATGGTACTTGCATTCTGGTGAGAGGAGGTAGTCAGTAAACAAGTAAGTTTAAATATCCTGCAGGGACCAGGACTTCACAGAATTCAAACAGAGTGCTTTGATGGAGATTGGTTAGATCATGACTTTCAATTAGGTGACCAGGGAAAACGTCTCAAAGGAGGTGCCATGAAAGTTGAGGTTGAATGATTAGGCGAAGCCAGGCAATGAGCAGAAGAGGAGGAAAGAGCTGGTGCAGCGGCTCTGAGGCTGACGAGCTGCTTGGTGTCGGAGGAGCAGAAGGAAAGCCAGGGTCGTTAGGGAATAATGAAGAGGACAGTGGAATGGATGGGGGCCATGTCGCAGAAAGCTGATTAAACCACTGAGGAAAGTTAGATTTTATTACAGTGGGAGCCACTCAAGTTATTTAAGCAAGAGAGTGACATGATCTGATTTAGGTATTAGAAAAGATTACTCTGGCTGCTATCGGGAGAACAGATCATTGCAGGGTAAGAGTGAAAACAGAGACCAATTAGGAGGCTATTATTTAGAAGTTCAGGCAAGAGATATGGTGGTTTGCAATAGGATGATACCATGAAGAGGGAATGATATGGATGGCTGTGGAGAAGTCATTCTGTCCATATTCTTCTCTCTCATCCATTCCAAATGTAAAGGTACTTTACATGTGTACCTTCAGAGTCCTTTCCAAGGTCTTTTTGCTAATAATAACAACTCACTATTTTTTGGTCAAACACTGACACTTGTTCCACTGACTCATTTTGTTGTTGTTCATCTTCACCTGAGGATATATTTTCCATTGATTTTTAGAGAGAGTGGAAGGGATAGAGGGGGTGGGGGGAGAGAAAAAAAGAAACGTCAATGTGAGAGAGACACATTGATTATTGGTTGCCTCCTGCATGAGCCCCAACAGGGACCAGGGATCAAACCTGCAACCCAGGTACTTGCCCTTGACTGGGAATCGAGTCCACGACCCTTTAGTGCATGGGCCGATGCTGTAACCACTGAGCAACACAGGCCATTTTTTCCCTCTATCCTCAGTATTACATTGATATGCCACTGGCCCATAGTAAAATTTTTCTGAAGTATTTTTAAAAAAAGATATTGCCATCTGACTTCTGAGGTCTTACTAAAAACTTACACCATTGTGCTCACTCAGTCATCTTTGGCAGCATTCAGCATGGCCGTACATATCTGCTGGGCCGTACACTCAATTCCATTTCTCTGTTCCATCCACCCTCATTAAAGCACTTCAGAATGCCCCACTGTCTCACCACCAAAGACTAACATTTATAATAAATGGGATTTACAAACTATGTTTTTTTCTTGCACAGGGTATGGTAAAGCTGTATTTGAGTGAATTTTAAATTTATATTTATGCCCACCAAGACAACACTTTCAATCAGCACAGTTATGGCCCCTGAGATTAACACTGTGGTGACCATTCCAAGTACAAGTTGAATACAGCCAAGCCATGTCACCTATGGATTTTATGTTGAATTTATAGTCAAAGAGACTTTCATTAGCTCTTCTTCAACTTTTAATTAAGATTTTTAAGGATTAAATGAGATTTGCTACACTTGCTAATTCATGCCAGTTGTTTTTGTGAAGACGTTTGAAGCTAATTTGACATACTTACTTTGAACTGATCTCTGATTTTTATTTTTTAAGAATGACAAGTCACGCAAAGACCAGGTAAAGCAAATACTTGTCAGATATTATATTATTGTGTATCATGAAATATATAATTTCATATTCTCTAAATTAGAAAGAACATTTAAAAAAATCTGAGATGATATAAATTATGGAGTAATTAGCAATGGTAACTGCTGGATGAAAATGGAAAAATATGTTGCATGCAGTTAGTATGTGGAGAATATAAATATAGGTTCTTTTATGCTATACCCCCTTTTTTATTTTTCAATTGCAGTTTGCATTAAATGTTATTTTGTTTTAGTTTCAGGTGTACAGCATAATAGTTAGACAGTCCTATACTTTACAAAATGTCCCACTGATATTTCACGTACCCACCTGGCACCACACATAGTCATTACAACATTATTGACTATATTTCCTATGCTGTAGTTTACATCCCCATGACTCTTCTGTAACTACCAATTTGTAGTTTTTAATCCCTCCATCTTTTTTCCCTCAGCTCCCCACTCTCCTCCCCTCTGGTAACCATCAGTCTGTTCTTTGTATCTATGAGTCTGTTTCTATTTTTTCATTTATTTTGCTCTTTAGATTCCACATATAAGTGAAATCACATGGTATTTGTGTTTCTCTGACTTATTTCACTTCGTATAATACCATCTAGGTCCATCCAAGCTGCCACAGATGATAAGCTTTCATTCTCTTTTATGGCCGAGTAATATTTGTATATATCTACCACAGCTTTTTTAACCAGTGGTCTGTTGATGGGCACTTGGGCTGCTTCCATATCTTGGCTATTGTAAATATTGCTGCAATAAACATAGAGGTGCATACACTCTTTTGAATCAGTGTTTTGAGAGTATTACACTCATTCAGCTTCAGGCATCTCGTTTTTTAAAGACTGACTTTATATACATCCATAAACTATGGAAAGATATATTTTATATTTTACCTAGATTCCCAAAGAATAAAAGAGGAAAGAAAGAGGACTACTTCTTGAGATGCCAGCATTCTGAGCACGTCGAGACCACAAGCCTGTTTCGTTCCTCTGTCCTCTTGCTGGAACAAGGATAGAGAATCCACTCACATTCAAACCCGGGCAGGATCTCAGCAGATGTACGAAGCAGTTGGCATTTGCCAGAGGCCTCACGACTCTTTTCCCTCCCGCCCTTTAGGTCCTCCTTTTCCTTGTTTTGTCCTCTACTGATTGCTCTATACCTTCTCCTCCCATGGCCGTGGCTGGATGATCTCATCCAGGCAACCCTGCCTGCCAGAGCTGCCAGCCAAGCACAGGGAGGACCAAGGGACCCAGGGTTACCAAGTGGAAAACTCGACCAGAAATCATCATCATAATGCTGAATACAGTTTATTAAACAGTTAGGCTGTGCCAAGAACTCTGCTGAGAACTTCATATATATCAAATTGCTTAACCGTCACAATAATCGTATAAATATTAGGTACTATTTTTAATCTCATTTTAAAGAGGGAAACTGAGTCATGTAGGATTTCTAGAAGTTGACACAGTGTTTCGAAATTAGCATAGGGCAGTGATTCCAACCTAGAAACCCGGCCTTCGGAGCCTCTGTTTCTCAACAGCTGTGCTGCTTGGCCTCTCTCCAGGGCACTTGCCTCATATTCCTCTGTCCCTCCTCACAGACTCGCTCACGTGAGCGTCCCAGAGGTTCATTGTCACACTGCTCAGAGTTGGAGTCATCCACCTCCCCTCACCGCTTACTTTCAGAGCAGTGCCCCATACTTGAAAGAACTTCATTATCATGGCCATATCAGTCCCCCACAGCTGCCCTGGAACGTTACCACACATGTTGTGACTTACAAGAACACAAATTAGTGATTGTGTAATTCTGTAGGACCGAAGTTCAACACAGTCTCACTGGGCTTTAGGAGGCTCATTTCCTTGTCTTCTCCCGTTCCCAGAGGGTGCTCACATTCCTTGCCTTGTGGTCGCATCATCCACTCTTTCAAACCTGCCGAGTCCTCAGACTGCATGGCTCACCTCTGCTTCCATCCGCCACCCCTTCCCTGACTCCCTTCTCGCTCCCTCTCCCCCTTCATGGCCTTGGGCCCCCCGGGACCATCCAGGATAATCTCCCTATTTTAACATCAGCTGTTTAGCACCTTAATCCCAACCACAACCTCAATTTCCCTTTACCATAGAATCTAACATATTCACTGATTCTGGGGATTAGGATAGGGACATATTTGGGGTCCATTATTTTGCCTGCCACAGTGGCTCAATTTAAAAGTTGACAAAGCAATATGACTGATAACATTTATACTAATATAAAAAACTTTTGTTTTTGTTTTTTTTGTTTTTTTTTTTAAACAAAACAAAACACTAACCTGTTGAATTTTAAGTCCTGGGAGCAAAGAAAATAACGAGATCACTTGGAGCAGATGGTTCTCCCCGTGGGAGTTGCAGTGACCCACACTGTGGATGCCTGGTGCTCTTTGGCTGCTGGCGTGTCCCACTGGCCAACGCCCCCTCTTGGCGGATGAGGAGACCCAAGATCCTTACTGAAATGTACTTGTTCTGAGACCCATCCCCTTGGGACATGTGACTACATGTAGGATAAATGAATTTATTAAAAACAGAATCTCTAGAACTCTGTCACTTGGGACCAATAGGAAGTTACTTCATCGGAGGTTCAGTTAAACAGCCTCTTGTGTAGAACAAGCCTGCAAAACTCTTAACAAGATACGTGGCAATTAGTGAGCACTCAGACGTAGTAGTCATCGTGGTCGCCGGTGTCGTCGTGTTAACATGTTCATGACAGATGTCATGTGCGATGTCTTGTTGGGCGTCTTCTGAAGAAGCACAGTGGCCTTGTGCATGGCTCTCGGTTCCACCCTGAGCCCCGGGCTTTTAGGCACATCTGCTGAATGGCAGCTGAGAGGGCAAGCCCCCCACTTTCACATCGCCCAGAACAGTTGTTAAAATCTGTTTTGTATGTGGTGTTCTGCATTCAATTAAATGAAAATATCTGCAGCTTTAAAATCAAAGACTGAAAACCAGTATTCTCTCTGAAAGAAATGACTCCATCATGGGGGAAGAGGGACAGGTCTCAGAGGAGTGTTTGGGGAGGCTGCTCCCCCCCGTCTGACCCTATGGGCAGCCGCCTGCTGTGTTGAACTTGATGTCCGGCTGACCTTGTGGGAGAAGAAACAGGCCTCCTCTCTGCTTCGGAGAAGAAATATTGTGCCTCCTGCCTGTCAGAGAGACTTTGCTGCCTGTACCTCAACAAGAGTCCTACGGACTGCCCTACGCACCACATGAAGGTTATCTATTCTTCACCTTCATAAAGAAAAACAGAGTTGCCTGGAATTGGGAGGAAGGCATGTTTTACATTTAAAATGTTTCCAAACTGGTGCTGTATTTTTTATTTTAGGGAATAACCGGTGTCTCTCCCATCCTCATTCAGCAATTACTTCCTTTGCAAACATCAAACAACTTTCCTCACATGTGGAAGATTGTGCGTGAATGATAGCGCCCAAAATAATCCTTGCTCTTCTCACAGAGCACATGCGCCTGTGATATTTTTAGCATATTGTAGTTGACAAATGAATGCTAATCACCGATTTCTCTTCACTCTTTTTCTCCTTCCAGGTTCTTGAAGAAAAGCTGTTCGATCCAACATCTGATAGTCACAAATTTGGAACCGTGCTTCTGAATCCCAGCACCTAGTAAAAAGAAAAAAGACAACACTGATAATTATACCTGTCAAGAAGCTGTGAATACGTGGTGTATAAATTCTTTACCAAGGCAACTCAACACCTTCTTTCTCTGGGGCTGAACGCCCACTGCTCACTGCTCTGTACACACACAGACCTTCCATTCACTGCGGTGGGAATTCTCCGCGCCACCAGAGATGTTTTCCAGTCTGCAGACTGAAACAGTGTAACAATAAAGTCCATGACTTTCAGATAAATCACCAGGGCCAGGATTAAGTGAATCTTGGGTCGCTAGCTTTTCCAGAGTTGAACAAATCCCTCATTAGGCTCTAGTTCAAACTGCATCAGTTCAATATTGTCGCCACTTAGACCTGCACATCGTCCCCCACCCTGACTTGGGTCACGTCCATACTGCTGAGCTGTCAGAATTAGAAAGTTTGTTAATTGCAGAGTCAAGGTCATTTCCCCTCTTGAAAACAAGTAATATGCTATATTTATACTCTTTTCAAGTAACTGAAGCAATTGGCTTTTTATTTTCTGTTTCCATGAATTTTATTATGCATTTGTAGAAGTGGGGCAATATAGCTCAACTTTTAGTTTGCTAGAAGCAAGGATAGAGGACTCTAGTACTGTATATATTTTTTAATTTAAGTATTGCTTGTATCTATTATTAAGTCTAACAGAATATAATGTATATTTATTCCACAAAATATATATTATGAGAGTGTATTTGTTACAAACTTAGGTCTTTTCTTACCAAGTGTTATGAATCTGGTAAGAGAACAATTAGCAAAGGACCTAACTTCATGAACGGATGCTCATATATTTATATATAACCCTGCTCTCAGTATTTTTTTTGTTTTATATTTTTGATTAATAAGCTCTAGAGAAATCTAAGCTCTTTCTACCTACCCTGATGTGATGTCATAGAAGTCTATTTGATATTTTAAAGCTTACGGCTTAAAAAAACACAACAAAATTATGATATGTGTGCGTGTATATACAAATACGTATGTCATACAAAGTTGAGATAAGTTTTCTCAAATATAAAATCAATGTTTTGGGCAATCTAAGATCAGGAGTATTATCCCTTTCAAAATTAGGCATACATAAACCAGTGATACTAATATTGTGAGTGAAAAGATACTGCTGCTTCTAGAGGGTAAGGAAACCTCACTCATTTCACGATTCATGTAGGTAAACAGACAATGAGATAACCATCTTTCACAAAGTGTCATTTACTGAAAAATGACCTGTGAGAGCCACACATACAGATTGTAACTTGTGACTGGCGGTAAATCTAGGCACATAAATCTGATTTTACTCTAAGGAATGAATAGGAAGTAATAATGATCTGGGCACTTAAATACTTTAAACCTACAACTGTACCTGAACAAAGAATAAATGTCCACCTGAAACATTCTAGATAGACCATTGAAACTGAGGCAAATATTTGAATATTCCCTTTTCTCAAATGCAGAAATTGATTCCCCAAGGTATAGTAAATTGTACATTTCAGGAAACCCTCCAAATTAAAAATTTATAAAGCTCAGTGTAGGAACTGTTTTCTTGAAAACTAATCAGAATCATCCAGCACATTTTTGTTGGCCCTGTCAGGTGATCCTGTTGTCAATGGCAAGTCTGCCTACTCTTGGTAGTCTATCACCCAGCAGAGTATAAGCAGCAAGGGATCTAGGAGGTACGTCAGTTTCAACAAGGTTCTACTGTGGTAACAAACTCTCATCCTTGGAAACTTAGCATTTTTTATTAGATAGAACTGGGGGGAGGGAAAGGGGGAGGACCCTGAATGTTCTGTAAAATAGGTTTACAAGAGAGCAAGCATGACTAAAGGACCGAATAGAGACTGCTTGAGTATTATTCAGTTTGAAAGAGGTGGTTCTCATTTTTATAAGAAAAAGTTAACAAAACATATATTTTAGTTATCATGTAACAAAGAAATATTAAAGCTATTCAGGCGATGCCACAGATTCTCAGAAAGGGAAACTCATCGAACCCTTGTAATGAGAAAATGGTCATTTCGACACATTTTAATACATTGTATAAATTTGGAGCTTAAGGTGAGTATGTTTTTATTTAGCCGTGTTTGTTACTTGTTAAATGATCATGTTTTATCATCAGTATAAATATTGTTATGGAATTACAGAACAATGATCCAATGAGCAGATACCTACATTTGTGTTTTCTAGAAGTCTTTGTATTTTTGTGTTTCATTTGCATATTGTTAAGTGCTAATAAATGTAAGCCAGGTCGTTTGTCACAGCAAAGGGGCACCAAAGACACCTAAGGACAGATAGCCTGTCACAATGATCCTGCATACAAGTGACCAGTCAAATGGCCAATTTTCTTCGGTAAAATCTAGTTGTTGAAATGTTAAGTCTTCCCCTAAAGTTTTTATCAAAAGCAACCATTCCTAAAACCTAGAAATGACACCTGTGTTTCTCTCAAGTCTCCCTGAACTCAGAGAGAATGGGAAAAATTACTACAACTTGTTTTAATGCTCTTTATTATTAATGATCACATTAGAGCTACTCACATGTCCAAAATCATGTTAAAGACATATCAGTTCTCCTACATGAAGCTCAGTCTTTAATACAATAAACAAATTAGGTGTTAAAATCTGTTGTTACTGTTCACCAGTGATCTTGGTGAATTTTAGTTCTTTCTCTTGGTTAGATTAGTGGACAGATTTTCCTAAACTCCTGCTATGATACTGAAGGCAAATACACATGCCCGAAACTTTTCATTGGGCATTTGTATTTTGACTCTGGTACCATTTGAAATGGAAATAGAAGATCCTCAGGGGAGATAATGAGTTTAAATTACAATTGACTTTAGAAAGAATAACAGGTTTTCCGTGCTTCATCATGTAATCAATAGGAAATTCTCTATGTGAATTACTGCTATTTTGGAAGACAATGCTAAGATCTAAATACAAAATCTAGCATCCAGGGACTTCGAGGCTGACTCAAGAACTTGCTCAGAGATGAATCTCACCAGTTTACAAATGCAGCTTTCAACCAGGACAAACCAAACAGGTCTGATCACAGTGTATTTTACTCAGCTGTGCCTGTAGGACTCTGAGATGTTGTAACATTTTGTCGACATTATTTTAAACATCTATTGTGGATATGTGAATAATACTGAATTTCTCATCTCCTAGCTGGTTTGTGTTTATCATGCAGACACAGCTTGTTAGACAAGCATTAGGCAGCACTGTGAAGTGAAAATCAATGCTCTACAGGTTCGGGGGGCCAACATAAGGCAAGATCTCCCCAGACTCGGGATAGTCCTACCCATCTCAGCCCTCTCTCTGTCACCGGCTCAACGAGAGAGGGCTGTGACTAACTGTCCTGTGGACTGCGGTATCCTGGCATCTGATGTAATATCTGGCACAATGTAAGTGGCCAATTAGTATTTGTTGAATGAATGAATGACAGAACAGGTGAATACACAAAGAAATAAATTTGCCTTCTGATAACTTGGAAATTTTTACCAACTTATGCTAATTGGCACTATCATTTCTGAATTTTATAGTGAGAACTAGAAACTGACTCTTTATAAACACTCCCTAGATCTATGAGTTTGGAATCAATTACTTCAAAGTCTTCAAAGGTTTGAGGACATTTACATAAGGAGTAATGTTTTGGGGATTCAGAGTTTTCACAGTGAATAACATCCAATCTTTCTGGTTCTTTACGAAAGCTCCTTGACAAGGATCATCCAAAATGGAACCTCATTAATAAGTTTTATAAAATAAATGTTTTTATTTTTTAAAAGAAGAAAAGTCATATCATCAAGCATATTATTAATTCTCCCTTAGATATTTATTTTTAAGGAGTTCATAGTAATTGGAGTTACCATCTCTAAATCTTGTCTTGCTTTCACAAGATCACTCATATTTGAATCCTAGAATGTACCCAAGTTTAAGATTAATCAAATAGCTATTAAGACTTTTCCCTGTGTTTATTCATTTAACAAATATTTATTGTGTACCTAATATGTGCTAGGTTCTGGAAATACAATGGCAAACAAGACAGACACAGTGCCCTCATGGGGCATAGTGGGAGGAACTACTCAACACCTACTCTAGCAGTAACTAGAGTTTCCTGTTCATCAGTTCCCTTTTCACAGCTTATAAAGGAACTAAAATACCTAACCCCTAGGAAATCATGAAGACTCCATGCATCTATTTATATGAGCTTGCTTTTCTAAACACATGCCTCAAAAATGCTTAGTTTTTCCATACATCATAGTTATATCCCAATGAAGTATGTAAGTGATAATTTATACATAACCAACATTTAGCTCTTACTGAGTTCTACTGTGCTCAGTACTTTCATAGACTATCTCATTGAATGCCTTCAACAACTTAATAGATTCCATTTCATAGGCAAGAAAGCTGAAGCATAGATATGTATGTGACTTGCTCAAAGTCATACAGCTAGCAGGTGGAACTAGGATTTGAACCCATGGCGTGGAACACACGAGCCCATGTATCTAACCATCATCCGAGGTTCGGGGGACACCATTACATTAAATGAGTCACTGTATATAAAAGTACTTTGAAATTGTATAGTATACAAAAAGATATGTGTAAAGTATTAACAGTCAACAAACCACATCAGTGGCAGAAACAGAACACAATCTTATGTTGTAGCTTACTCTCATGAAGAACACATCAAGCCAGAGACGTGGATAAAAGTACAGATCCAGACAATTTCTGATGTGATAAATATTTTAAAGATTTTTCGGAATTATTTGTTAGCCACTGTGTCTATTTGGTGCTACAAAAAAAAAAAGAAGAAAAGAACTAAAATAAACAAAATCCCTTGCTGTAAGGGCTTATAATAAATACACAGTGTGGAGATGAACCAAGGATATTTCACATTTACAGGGAAAGATTGGGCAGTAGTAGTATTTTCTCCCCATTGCATGTGATCGTGTCTTTCCAATTGTTTTTATTTTTTATTTTGAAAGACCTGCAAAATGTGCAGTGGTTTAACCTGACCAAAGTGGTATTATGCTGCTGGGAAGTAAAAATATGGAACACCAGACTGGAAGTATTGTCTTCATTGTCAAATGACTTTACATGATTTTAGAGCATGCACGTGGAAGGATTTCTAGATGCTGAAGGCACCTGAATATCTTCGCATGTGTGTTTCTCTATTTCAGATGACACTGTGGGGTCATAGTATTTAGAGGTTAGATTCTAAGGCAAATTTGAGATTGTTCTGACCACAACCTGGTAGCTCAGTGTCTGTATCTTCAGAGCCCAGCAGGACCTGACACCTGCTGTGGAACCGTAAACTCACGGCTCCCGTTTCACAAAGAAGAATCACAGGCATTATTTACATTTGTTCTCTCCCAGCCCCTCCCAGTGAAGTGGGCATGTGACACAACTTAAGTGATGTTTCATATTGGTGGAAGCAAGGGATCATCTTAAGAAAAACTTTTATCTCATTCTTTCCTACTACCAATGAGATCCTCCTAAATGACTGACATGTTGAGAATTAATTTTACCAATAATATACCAGGAGAAAAAATTCAAATGCCTTATGGTCAAAATCATACTTGGGAACTTCTTCCTACCTCCCTTTTGACACATTTGTTTCTACCAATATTACCATTCCCTGTACGAATGTAGTCATCCTTCTCACTTGCCATTCACGTCAGTTCTTAGAGTCTACATTTTACCTTGACAAAATCTCATAAAACTATCTTCTCTTATTTATTCTCACTATTCCTACCTAGGCATAGACCCTACTAGGACTTTTGTGAGCTTTTAACTGTTTTCCCAGAAACTTCATCTCCCCATTTTTTTTCTATTTATTAATTCTAGATAAATTGCCCTGAAGCTATTCTTTTACACACATTGGATTCTTCGGCAAGATTCTTTGAACCAAAACACTAGTATAGTATTCGGGAAGGAGGACATTATAGTGCCCTCCGATCCACAAGTCAACATACAAAACGTGAAATGCGATATTGAAATCTGGTTGTTGGACTATAAAATAGAATCATGAGGTTCCATAACACTGAAAATATCACAAGTTCTTCAATATGAAATTAAATACAAAGAGAATAGTGTTGTAGTGGTGAAGATATCAAGACTGCATCTTACTATGACCCACCAATTCCAAAGCATTTGCTTGTGTGTGTGTGTGAATGTGTACGTGTATGAATGTATGGGGGTGGGCAAATGTGCTAACATTAGGAAGAGGTATTTCTCCACCATATAGCACCGTTCTTCCTGTTTTATCTTTCAGTTCAAGTTGACCACCACCTATTCCTGGAAACTGTCCAAACTTTCCTTCCCCTGGGGATTTGATTATTTTCAAACTACCTCTTTCCTTACCTATGCCCTCCTCCCCAAATATCTTAAATTTTAAAGGCCCATTTCCAATGGTATCTCTTCCAAGAAGCTTTTCTAATTTGTCCAGGCCTGATGTTATCTATCTCATCATTAATCCTCATTATGATAGCTGAACCCCTCTTTAGGTCTTTTCTTAGCTTGTCTTATAGTATACCCATTTGTGTCTTTATCATCTCAAGTCCCCCCATAGTTATTAAATATACATGGAATGAGTGCTTAATATTTCTTAAATAAAATTACCTTTCACTTGTCAACTTCACAGAATGGATTCTGGAGTATTTTAAGGTCTATCTCAGTTCTCTGTAGCTCACTCAGGAAGTTCATCAGAATAGAGAACTCAATACTAGACATTTTTAAAGGAGAAAAGAGCTTTAATTATCGGATATTTTTATTTTTAAAAAAGAATGAAAAGATAAAAGTGGTAACTCATCTATTTCCTAGGCTTTCCTAGTATGATTTTTGTTCTGAGGGTGAATGTGAAGGTTGATGTAAACATTTTAGATGACAACCACCATTATCTCATCTACACACACACCAAGACTTTACTGCTGACTTGTCTCCATATATTTGGTTGCTTATGCTATGGGAGAAACTGTAAAGAGTAAAACTGGGTTTCCAGTTAGCAACTAAACAAGCAAGTTGGGCATCATAATGTTACTTCCAATTGTGTTAATGGTACTGTTTCTTGCTGCATTCCATCGGAACACAGACCCATCTATCTTTCGTAAGTCCTCTCCTAACCCCAAGTCCCTGAGGTCTTAACATCAGGAATGGGGGATTGGGAGACTAATCACTATTATTTCAACTGTCTTAGCCTATATAGAAAAATAAAAGTTAATAGTAATGAAAACATTTCACCAGCCTTAGCCATGCATTGTGTTCTATTGTGTGGCCAACACAAAGTTTGATCTGAATGTGACATTTATAAACCAAACGAATTCAACATCTAACAAAAACATAATATTAATTTAGTTCTCCCCCCTCCCTTGCAAGGATAGGATACACAATATCCTAAAGGAAAATTCCTACACATGAACTAAGATGTCCTTATTTTCACTTGTTAAGTTAGAATAATTACAAATAGAACTTCAAGAAATAATCTACATGAACACAACACAGTTTCAGGGTTTAATTGCTACCTGTTCAATAAATCATGTTTCCTGTGAGTATTTTTTAAAACGGCATTGTTGTATCTAAAAGGGTTTTAAGGGTTAGAAGTTGACTAGTTGCAACTGGAGACCCATAGAGGGCCTGTACTTGGATTTTTTGAAATACAACTTTCCAGCAGCTGGATTTCAGCTTTATACATACAAGCTCACTTGTTTTCTTATTTTTTTTCTTTTTTTTACTTTTTTTTTTTTTTTTTTTAGGAAACCCTGAGACAGTCTCAGTTAATATCTGTTTTCTCAGAATAATTATTAATAGCACCCTCTTTAACTCTCAGAAGTGCCTCAATTTAGAAAACACATTATGGTGTCAACCTGCCTAGAAATGATAAAGCACTGGGATGATGGTTCACATTAACCTTCTTCAATTCACCAGATAATTGGAAGCATTCTTTTTTTGTTGCACATAACTCAGTAGAACTTGGGTGAAAAAACAAAAATTAACCACCACCAAAGCAGGCCAGATTCAGGGTCTCAATGTTAATACAATTTCTGCCTTTTCTTACCTCTCTCTCTCCCTCAGCTCCACTTGTCTCTGTTCTTTTTGTTTGTGGCCCTTGTTATTTAGGCTACAGTCAGTTTCTCTCCCTTTTCTGTTCCTCTCCTAGTGTCTTGCAGCACCCGATTTATATCCTTAGAGCTCCTGATCAAAAAGGAAAATTAGAGTCTCTTCTTCAGAGTCGATATCATACAGGCAAACTCTGAATGGTCCTGCTTGGCTCTGCTATTCACTTCTTAAGGCAAATCACTATGAGAAAAATAACATGATTGGCTATGCGTGGGTCACATTCTCATGCCTACTGATTGTCCACTTACTAGCTATAGGGAAACCAAGATGAGAAACACACTAACAGTTGTTCAACAAGGCACATAAGAAAACAACTACAAAAGGACACAATTATCAAAATGAGGGTTCAGTTACAGGTGAGGTAACACATTATCTGAGGAAATCAGAAAAATCTCCTTGGAAGAGATACCAATTGAAATGGGTGTTGAAAGTTGAGTGGGACTTGACAGGTATAGACAGAGTCTGGAATAACATTGAGCTGGATATTGACTGGAGAATGAACACTACCCCAAATCTCGGATTGAAACAGGAATATTTACTTAGTTCTTAATTCTGAAGCTCCCCAATGTAGGCTGGGCTCAGACAGGCAGTTCTTGTGGGTTTGGCTGGTTGGGCTTCTCCATGTGTTCATAATCATTTGCACATCAGCTCAACAGCTCAGTTTCTGGGGCTGACTGACTTCCAAGTGATATGCTTCAGTAAGCATCTACATGGTCTCTTACCTTCCAGCAAGCTAGTTTGAGTTTGTTCTTACGG